CCATCCATCATCCATCCATCCATCATCCACCCATCCATCCATCCATCTATCTATCATCCATCCATCATCCATCCATCCATCATCCACCCATCCATCCATCCATCTATCTATCATCCATCCATCATCCATCCATCCATCATCCACCCATCCATCCATCCATCTATCTATCATCCATCCATCATCCTTTTATTCATATTTCCATTCATCATCATCATCCATCAAACTATTATTCAGTAATATTATCAATTTAACTTTCAATTTAAATCAGATGAGAACAAAACGTGATCTGAGTTGATCTGAATAATGACTGTTATCTCCTGTAGAGCTGCTTTACAGCTGAAATTGAATTAGTTTCATAACTGATGAATTTTGCAACATGAACAATCTTCTTTTCCTGTTTATTAAGTCAAGTCACCGTTATTTATATAGTACTTTTTACCATGCAGATTGTGTCAAAGCAGCTTTACAGTATTAAACAGGGAAAAATAGTGTGTCGAAATAGTGTTCTGTTCTCCTCTGGCCAGACGAGACCATCAGTTTAATTCCAGGCTGCAACAAAGTCAGATTGTGCAGAGGACTTATTACTGTAAGGCTGCTTTGAAACAATCTATATTGTATAAATAAACTGATCTGACATGATCGACCCATAAACCCAAAGCTTTGAGAATCGTCCTGAAGGTCTGGAGTACCTAGAGTCTGACTGTACTGAACATCACATGATTATCATTGGTTACTGTTGGTTCCTGTTTGCGGTGTAGGCAGATTTCCCTACCACTATAGGAGTGAACGCTGAAGAGGAGGGGTCACCTGACATGGGAGCGGAGCAAGAGAGCAACAGTGGGCGGAGTTATTACATAGACACCACAGCCCTGCATGTGCCGCGGGCGGGTGTAGAACTCATCTCTCCACTGAAGAACGGCATGAGTACGACACACACACACACACACACACACACACACACACAGGACTTAATATCAAATGCAAGAGTGTATTCTGCAGAATGTCTCTGTTTCTATTGTGTTCTCAATTGATCTCTTTTAGTTGAGGACTGGAATGCATTTCAAGCCATAATCGACCACATCTACAGCAAACATGTCAAATCGGAGCCCAGTTTACACCCTGTTCTGATGTCTGAAGCTCCTGTGAGTACATCAACACTCTTAGAGGAATCCAAGATCAGGATGAGTGTGTTTCTTCATCAGGTTTGTAGAAATGTAGCATTGCATCAGTGTCTCAGCAATGGATGCTCTGCAGTGAATGGGTGCCGTCAGAATGAGAGTCCAAACAGCTGATAAAAACATCACAATAATCCACAAGTAATCCACAGCACTTCAGTCCATCAGTTAACATCTGGAGAAGACAAAAGCTGAAACACATCCAGCATTAAGACGTTTTTAACTTAAATACATAGAGTCTATAATCCATAATAACGCTTCCTCCAGTGAAAAAGTGCATCTGCTGTTGTCTCTCACATCAAAATCCAGCCACATATTTGTTTAGAGCTGTTTAAACGCTGCTTGATCTGTGCAGATTTCTCTCCTGATTCACACCAGAACACCTTTTCACTGGAGGAAGAGTTATTATGGATTATGGACTCAATGTATTTGAGCTAAAAACGTCTTAATGCTGGATGTGTTTCAGCTTTTGTCTTCTCCAGATGTTAACTGATGGACTGGAGTGCTGTGGATTACTTGTGGATTATTGTGATGTTTTTATCAGCTGTTTGGACGCTCATTCTGACGGCACCCATTCACTGCAGAGCATCCATTGCTGAGACACTGATGCAGTGCTGCATTTCTACAAACCTGATGAAGAAACACACTCATCCTGATCTTGGATGGAGGGTGAAGTGATGTTACAATGTTTCTCTCGTGACAGTGGAACTCACGGGCGAAGAGAGAAAAGCTAACAGAACTCATATTCGAGCATTACAACATCCCCGCCTTCTTCCTGTGCAAGACCGCCGTGCTCACTGCGTATCCAATCAGAAAGCGCCACTCGGGAACATCAGCCAATCAGAATCCAGACAGGCTGAGTTCCGTCAAGTGTTAAAGACAGGCTGATGATGTCATGATGTTTGTACGTCACCTTAACCTGATCGACTGCAGCTTTGCTAACGGTCGAGCCACGGGCCTGGTGCTGGACAGCGGAGCCACGCACACCACTGCCATCCCAGTGCATGATGGGTACGTCCTGCAGCAAGGTAAATAGAGCATTAGTCAGTGACATAGTCATCATCTAAGGACTCTAAATGATCAACATGATCAAAACTTTGCTGATAAACCTGTTTCACACAATCTATCACATGCCTTCTGTTGATATTTTAATCAAGTCAAAGCACTTTTAGTGTAACTGTAGAAACGTCCAGCTTCAGCTGCTGCTTCAGTGTCTTTCTGTTGTCAGATCTCGTCAGAATAACTTTAGTAATATTTGCAGATGAACACTTACTGGACTAAAGCAGCTCGGCTTTACTTGATTCTCCATCAATCTTTTTTCACTGACTGAAAAATCAGTGAGTCTCAAATCTGACTTCAAAGAGCGTAACGCAGATCATTTGATTCAGATCGGGGCTTCGGAGCTTCCACCTCAAAACTGTGTAAATGGTTCAAACATGCACAATCAATGTCATCTTGTATCATGTTTTTTGAACATTTAGAGAACGTTCAAAAGTAATGTTCCCATAATGTTTGCACTGATAAAATGGAATGTTCCTTTAACATTCACACATAAAAAAAAGAAAAAAGAAAACGGATGTTTAAATGTTCAGAAATAACGTTTTCTTAAAACATTCTTGTTCTTGGAACATACTTTTTAAGTGCTTTTAGAGACAATGAACACTAGATGAACAACTATAATGATAACTGTAACTATAACATTATAATCATCCTAATTCTACTAGAATAGCAAAGTTCACACCACAGCTATAACTATAATAATTACTACAATGATAACTATAACTAAAACTATAAAGTTTTATCAGTCATTCTAATTCTATGAGTATAGTAAAGTCCACAACCTCAACAATCAATAACTGATAGTGCTGCTCACTTTGCTGAAGAAACACACACACAAATCAATCAGCTGCCGACTCTTTTCAGCAGCTGATTGATTAGGGTCATTGATTGCAGTTTACAGAGCGATCATAGTATGGGTTTATCATCAGTGTGTGTGTGTGTTTCTAGCACTCAGACCAGCAGTAGTGCAGATGTGTGTGTTCTTGTGTTCAGGGATCGTCAAGTCTCCTCTGGCCGGAGATTTCATCACCATGCAGTGTCGAGAGCTGTTTCAGGAGATGAACATCGACACGGTTCCTCCGTACATGATCGCGTCTAAGGTAGCGTGTCTCTTGCGATTCTCCTCAGTGTGTGTGTGGTGTTCAGTCTCTCAGTCTGTGTGTGTGTGTGTGTGTGTGTGTGTGTGTGTGTGTGTGTGTGTCCGTCAGGAGCCCGTGAGGGAAGGAGCTCCGCCGCTCTGGACCAAGAAGGACAAACTCCCTCCCGTCACCAAGTCCTGGCACACGTACATGTGCAACGTAAGAGTCTGGAAGAACATGTGAACACACGTGTGTGACGTGAGTGTTGCGTGATCGCTGACTGCTGCTCTTACAGGAGGTGATTCAGGATTTCCAGGCGTCGGTGCTGCAGGTGTCTGACTCTCCGTATGATGAACAGTGAGTGGAACACACACAAGAAAAGTCAAGTCACCATTATTTATATAGTACTTTTTACAATGCAGATTGTCTCAAAGCAGCTTTACAGTATTAAACAGGGAAATAGTGTGTCAAGATAGTGTTCTGTTCTCCTCTGGCCAGATGAGACCATCAGTTTAATTCCAGGCTGCAGCAAAGTCACATTGTGCAGAGGACTCATCTGGTTCCTGTGGTCTTGTCCCAGTGGCCGTCTGAGACAAGGTCTTTACAGGGGATCTGTATCTGGGGCTCATCTAGTTGTCCTGGTCTCCGCTGTCTTTCAGGGCTGTAGAGGTCCTCTCTAGGTGCTGAAGAAAAGGGGGATTCGAGATCGGTCTGTAATTAATTAATTAGTTGGGGTCAAGTTGCATTTTTTTTAATGAGGCTTAAAGTGATAGTTCACCAAAAAATGAAAATTAATTACTCACCCTCATGTTGTTCCAAACCCGTAAGACCTCCGTTCCTCTTCGGAACACAAGTTAAGATATTTTTTGATGCATTCTGAGCGTTATCTGACCCTCGCATAGACAGCAATGTAATTACCACGTTCAAGGTCCAGAAACATAGCAAGGAGATCAGTAAAATAATCCATGTGACATCAGGGGTTCAACTGTAATTTTACGAAGCTACGAGAATGAACGACATGAGGGCGAGTAATTAATGACTGAAATTTCATTTTTGGGTGAACTAACCTGTTAAGACTTAATAACACACATACACACACACACTCACGTAAACACACACACACACACACACGTCTGGTTTGCTATCCTTGTAGGGACTCTCCATAGGCGTAATGGTTTTTATACTGTACAAACTGTATTTTCTATTGCCCTACACCAACCTACCCCTCACAGGAAACTTTCTGCATTTTTACTTTATTAAAAAAACTACTTCTGTATGATTTATAAGCTTTTGTACCCATGGGGACCTCAATTTATGTCCCCACCATGACACAAGTCCCCATGAGTCTGTGTGTAGTCAGGTTTAAGTCCCCACCAGGATAAATAAACCTGTACACGCACACACACACACACACTCACGTAAACATACACACACACACATACAAACATTTTCTCTCACACACACAAACACTCTCTCACACACACACACACACACACACACACTCTCTCACACACACACACACACACACACACACACTCACTCAACTCACGTAAACACACACACACACTCTCTCTCTCACACACACACAAACACTCTCTCTCACACACAAACACACACACACACAAACACTCTCTCACACACACAAACATTCTCTCTCACACACACACAAACACTCTCTCTCTCACACACTTACTCACGTAAACACACACACTCTCTCTCTTTCACACACACACACACAAACAAACACTCTCTCTCTCACACACACACACAAACATTCTCTCTCACACACACACAAACATTCTCTCTCACACACACACAAACACTCTCTCTCTCACACACTCACACACTCTCACACACACACTCACAGACAGAACTTACGTGCTACTGGCACTCTCCTCTGCATTACAAATGTTACTACTCCTTAACATATTGTCTCTTTATTTTATTATTACTTAAGTTACAAATATTGCATATGCATTTGCATAGATGTAAAAATGTTATTGCTCTGTTAGTTTCTATTTGGCATGCGATTTATACGCAGAAATTAACTTTGGCGTGCATGATACACAATCAATGCTTGTAGTAGAAAACAAGTGGTGGTACTCTCCCCCACCCAAAAATAAACAAATACAAACTAATTAATTTTAATATTTTTTTCTATTTAAATTTTATTAATCAAAATGCATGTAGGTCAAAGACGTTAAGATGTCCGCATCAAAAAAAAGTGATTAAAGTGATTATATGTCCATAGAAAGCACATTAAATGTAAGTAAAGTGTC